CTTTCCTTTTCCTATAAAGTGAGTGTTTAGTTTTTCCATCTCTTTAAAGAAAGATGGTGAAGTCTGGGTTGGGAATCTATAGATCACGTAAGGAGCTCTGGTTGCACACATTGGGCTGCTACCCTCAAGGTCAGCAGTTCAAAACCATTAGGACACTCTGCAGGAGAAAGATGAGCCTTTCTATTCCCATAAAGAGCAATAGTCTCAGAAACTCAAAGGGGGAGTTCTACCCAGTCCTACAGGGTCACTATGAGTCAGAAGTGGCGCAAAAGATGGCAGTAAGTTTTTGTGTTTTATAGATCACCTTGGTAAGTATTTACATTTTCACAATGTTAAATCTTCCTTTCCAGGAGTATGACTTGTTCTTCCATGCACATAGATTTCTTTTAGTTGGTTTTTTTTTTTTTTGAATCATTTTATTGGGGGCTCAGACAACTCTTATCACAATCCATCCATCCATCCATTGTGTCAAGCACATTTGTTCATTTGTTGCCATCATCATTGCTCCCCTTTCTGCTCTGTTGCACGCCCTTAGTGTTTTGCCCTGTGTGGTGGAGTCAGATTGGGCACATTTCCCACACTGTATCTCCAGTGTCATCCCCCATAGTGCTATGGGTCAGTGAGGGACATCTGGCTTGTGGTCGTCTTTGCGCATTGGCTGCTTTGAGCAGGAATATCATCCTTGAGACTTAGAGGCCAGGATGTGTTCCACTTTCTCTCCTTCCCTCTTTGTTTGCTTCTGTGTGCTCTGATCAGATACTCCCCTCTCCCTGAGCTATAGCTTCAATGCTGTCCTCTGAAGTACATTCTTCTGGGAGGGTAAAGGGGGTTGTCTATGTAGTTGGGATTGGGGCTGGCCCCACAGACTCTCTTCATTTCTTATAGTAGCATTTTTTAGTCTTTACATTGTTGGTTAGTGTGTGTGTGTGTATGTGTGTGTATTTTATCTCTAGCTAGGTGTATTTGCAAGTGTGTTTTAGTAGCTGTTGTAAATGATACTGTTTTCCATATTTCATTTCCAGAATTTTTTGCTGTTGTTCTTGGTAGTGATGTAAAGGAAGCTGACTGATTTTTGCATGTTGATCTGGTGCCCTGCCACTTTGTGGAGCCTTCCCATCAGGAGTTTTCTTGCTGAGCTGCTGGGATTTTCTATATCTAGGATCGTAACATCTGCAAACGGGTAGTTTTACTTCTTCCTTAACAAATCAGATGCCTTTTATTTTCATTGGTTTTGCCTTATTGCCATGGCTGGAACTTACAATACGGGTAGGAAGCACCAGTGGAGGTGATCACAGAGAGTAGAGAAGTGCCCCAGCACGAGAGGGAGCAGGATCCGAGTGGGGGTGGCAGGGAGGAGGAAGAGGAGAAGGAGGAGGAAGAGGTAATGGCTGTGGAGCACGGGACTAATGAGATTAACCAGGCAGCAACACATCACTTCTTCCAGGAGCTGAGAGGGAGAGGGAAGGATAAAGCGTAGGGTGGCTTCATATCTACAGGTTGTATATAAGTCAGATGGGTGTAATTAGAGGAATCTGCCTGTACTCATGAATGCATTTTCAGGTGTTACAATGCCCATTTTAAAGGAGAGGACACTGAGGCTTCAAGATGCCGTCTATCGTTTGAATCAGGTCACACCTAATTCCAGAGATCATCCATCTTTTCCCATTCCTCTGCTTCCTGGGTGGTGGTAGCTAACCAGATACCAGATCTTTGACTCAGCCCCAAACTGGCAGGCGATGCAGGTGGCGCATGTGGATTGGGGTCAGTGAAGGAAAAGGGCCATTTTCTGGGGTTAGCTGCATGTCGCAACCTATCCCATCAACAGCATGCTGTTTGATAGTGGTGTCAGCAACAACAGAAATGTTAGAGTTGGAGTGTTGTAATCTTCTGTTATTTCTCACACTAAAGGTAGTCTCAGGAAATTTGAACAAATTCCCTGCTCTAGCTCCACATCCCATGAAACTGATTCGCCAGATGCAATTCTTCTGCAAATAGCCAGGCCGCAGGCTCGGCCAAGCCTCCCTCGGAACCTCCCTCCATCTGCAACTGGAAAGTACGCTTTGGCACGCTCTTGAGTCTTCTACATCCTGTAGAAAGAGAAGCGCATTGTCTTACTCCAGCCAGATAGTTTGTTTCTCTAGCTGTTTGTGTTTTAGTATTCAAATACAGATGTTGCCGAATGCTTCCACTGTGGGAAGCAGCTGCTGCTATTCTAGGGGGAAAATCTCTGCGAGATTCATATACAAAGGCAGCAGGGACCTCGGTGGCAGCTACAGCATCTGCTTGAGGTGGGGCCTGCGATTCCCCATAGATGGAATCTTCAGATTCTCATTAACAGGCCGCAGCCATGGTTCAGATCTCAGCTTATGCTACAGGAGCAAGAACAAAGGCAATTGAATCGTCCACTTAGCTGATAAATACCGGCCCAGGTGATTTGCCCACGGCCTTTGAAACCATTGCCTTCATTCCCTGTGGCAACTGCTAAGCGCTGAAGCCTTTGGTGCTCAGGACTGTTTCTCGCTATCACCGTTGCTACCTTCTGCCTGGTGTAAGAGCTCTCACAGCCCTAAGACACCCACCTGCCGCTCACCTGGGGCCCTCACTGCTTCTGCTGACCCCCTCCAAGCCCTGTCGAGTCCTTGCAGTGTGACCATCAGCACCCAGATACAAACAGAGAGACAGGAGGGGGTGGAGTAGGATGGCTTCTCAGAGCCCCCAAGTCCCACTCCACTCTGCGACCTCATCAAGCTGCCTCTGGAATTTCCGAGGCTAAGGCTGCCATGGGCAACATGATCGCATCATCCTTTCCAGAAATGCTGGTTTCTAGGTTGCCCACCCTGAATGGGCTCACCTGACAGCCTCACCTTGTTGCTGGAGGCTTTTAGGTACCAGCTAGTGCAGCACCCACTGGGCCCCCCACGCCCTGAGGGAAACACCCCAATAGTCCCTTTCCTTATGTTCAGACACTGGGCTTCTGGGACTCCTGGCACTTGGAGAAGCAAACAGCCAGAGGTGGGCGCTCCCAGGGCCACCATTTAGAGATGCTGTAGGCAGATGTGCCCAAGCCCAGGACCACCTGGGGCAAAGCAAGCAGGCAACATATACATCCACCTGCCCTACCATGTCCAAGGGAGCAGGGCCACCACCCAATCTATAGAGTGGAATGAGCTCCTGAATTATTTATGGTTGCACATTGGACAGGGGCCTCTACAGGGCTCACACACACCCCATTCCTGGCTGGCTCCAGGAAGTAAAATCTCCCACTGAGGCCCACAGAGCTCATTCCATTCTGATGGCCTCTTAGGGACATTCTCATTCCATCATGGGAAAACCCGTAGGAGAACACCCTCAAAGTCCCCTGGGAACTCCATTTATCCACAGGCTGCTTTGAAGTCCCCCAGGAGCCCTGGTGGTGTAAGTGGGTTGGTTACCTGTAGACCTGCTAACCACAAAGTCAGCAGTTCGAACCACCAGCCGCTCTGCAGGAGAAAGATGAGGCTTTCTACTCCTGTGAAGATTTAAAGCCTCAACTTTAAAGCTTTAAAGCTTTAAAGCCTTTCTACTCCCGTGAAGATTTAACGCCCTGGGGCAGCTACTACTCTGTCCCAGAGGGAGTCTGAGTTGGCACAGGCTTGATGGCAGTACAGTCTTTCTGTCTGTTACTCTGAAGGCAACAGAGGCTTCTGGGTAGATGGGTTTGTGGACTATGCCCTGTGCCCCAGCCAGGCCTGGGTGGGAAAGAACCCCAAAGCAGAGGCAAGAGGCCAGGTCAGCAGGGGAGGAAGCCGACGAGGGGACAGTGGGAGGGCCTGTGTACAAAGAGGCTGCCTGGTGGGAAACTGAGGCCAGGCCACGTCCAAGAGGCTGTTCTTAGTGGCCGCCGCCACTGCTTCTGCCGGAACCACACTGCTCCAGCCACAGGGCTTCTTAGGAGTGCTTTCTATACCCGCCACTTGGAGCAAAAGCAGAAAACAAAAGCACATCTCTAGGCATTTATTTCCTGCCTATTTTCCTAAATCTTTTGTTGAAACATCTGTGAAATGAGGAGGGGGAGGGCAGCAACTTAAGAACAGGCTATTTGCAAGAACCATAAAGATGGTCATTCTTCAGTTATTTTGATCAAGGCCTGCTATTTCACAGGCAGAGGGACCGCGGTAGCAAATCACTCACATCTATAAAATATTTATAAAATTGTTCCTAAGTGCACCAGCGCCATCGAGCGCAGCACATAAAGAAAGGCCTCACTCCTCACTCTCCAGCCCTGGGGGCCCTTGGGAAGATCACTTACCTGCTGGCGACAGCGCTCACCGGTCATTCTACCAGCGCTGTCGCCAGTCCACCTTAGGAGGGGTAGAGAGGGGTTAGGTACCTGCAGAGTGGTATGAAGGAGGCGGGAAGGGTAGGCCAGTCTCCCACTTTTAGACTAAGAAGGGCAGAAAGTGCACAACCCACCCCCCCTTCTAGACCTCCACAGAGTCGCTAGACATGAAGACTGTGTGTCAGACTGCACAGCGCACGCAGGCGCCACTTTGACACCTTTGTGATGTCTGTTACTGCTGCTTGGTTTGCTGCAGTACACAGAGCTGTTGCTGTTAAGAACCTGTACGACTACCCAGGCCAGGCCTGTATACCCGGAATGGGCCTGTGATGAGCAGTGGGAGGGTCCAAGGTAGACAGTGTCCCCTCCGAGAGAGGCTCGGCTCATCAAAGCTTGTGGGGCAAGAAAAGCCAAACAAGATGAGCCAGTGTAAGCTTGAGAGGCGTGGTGAGGGGCTTAGTGGAGACACCCCCATGCAGAGGGTAGTGGGTAACCCATCTCGTCTCCTCCCCTGAGACCCTCCTTATCAGTTCCGCAGAGGTCTGCAGGGCCTCAGCGGTAGCACCATTCAGCATCAGATTGCATGGTTCCAGGCAAACTCTGAATTGTTTTATCTGCCGCCACGAACCCAAAGCCCTTCACTGATGTGCTGCCATTTCTCTGCCTTATCCCCTCCCTGCAGGCAGCCTCCTCAGCCCTGAGCAGCCTGGGTCACGTGTACACGGCCATCGGAGACTACCCGAATGCGCTGGCCAGCCACAAGCAGTGTGTACTCCTGGCCAAACAATCCAAAGATGAGCTCTCGGAAGCCCGCGAGCTCGGCAACATGGGCGCCGTGTACATCGCCATGGGTGACTTTGAGAACGCCGTGCAGTGCCACGAGCAGCACCTGAAGATAGCCAAGGAGCTGGGCAACAAGCGAGAGGAGGCCCGGGCCTACAGCAACCTGGGCAGCGCCTACCACTATCGGAGGAACTTTGACAAGGCCATGTCGTACCACAACTACGTGCTGGAGCTGGCCCAGGAGCTGACGGAGAAGGCTATCGAGATGCGGGCCTATGCTGGCCTGGGCCATGCTGCCAGGTGCATGCAGGACCTGGAGAGAGCGAAACAGTACCATGAACAGCAGCTGGGCATTGCCGAAACCCTCAAGGACCGGGCCGCCGAGGGGCGCGCATCCTCCAACCTGGGTAAGGGCAGCATGGCCACTGAGTCCGCCCACTGCCTTTGGCAAGCATCTGCGTGGGTGTGGTCACAAGACCCTCCTCACGATGGGTCTCATAGCTTTCCTGCAACTACATTGCCCTGGAGCCTGCCTGCCTCCCTGCCGTCCTAGGACCCCCAAACCAGGGCTCTGAAAGGCTCAGGGGTGAGGGTGGGGAACAAAATGAAACACCTCCCAGCCTTTTAGTCCAAGGAGAGAGAAGTCCCTACCCCATCTATCTAATTAGAGAGCAGGGGGATGAGGTAAAATGAGAGGGCGCGCTCTTTGCTTTAAATGAAAGAGCAGCCCTCAGAAGTCATCATTGGAAGGGGATTTGAAAGGGTTTTGTTGTTGTTGGCTTAGTGAGTTTAACCTTACAGGCCATGTTTGTTGGCTTGTTTGGGGTCCCTCTCAAAATTGGGGTCTCACAGATGATGCTGAGTGCTAACGGAGATGCAGAATGACTTTGTGAAAGGTTGTGGAAGTAGGACGGGTTTGCACCGAGATGCGCTTTTGACGGTGAGTGGATGGTCCTTGGCTGTAAGGGTGGGGGCGGAGGCCACCGCAGCTGGTAGCTTGGGGGACGTTGTAGAACAGATTGTCATTTGGACTCTGTACCCAGACAGATGGGGTTACCAAAAATGATGGAAGGCCCCACTGTGTGGGGAAGTACAAGCCCGCGGTTGGGTCTGGGCCCACTCAGATTCGTAGGAGGGCGAGGGCAGGGAGAAGGTGGCCTTACTGGTATTGGTGTAGGCTTATCAGATGTTAGTAGTAAAATATAAAGCTCAGTTCCCTTCTCCACGTGACCTCCCACGCACATCCATCTCTATTTATCTTAGCACCTTACCGCCCTCCCTCACTGCCCCCTCCTCCTCCCCTCAGTGCTTACTTTACATGTATGTTTCTTGACTACATCCCTAGAGATGGCTTGGGAGCTCTGGTGGTGTAGTGGTTACCCCTTGGGCTGCTAACCACAAGGTCAGCAGAAGTGACAGAAGGCAGAGTTCCACAAGAGATCCAGGGGTCACATTCCCTGTGGTCCTGGTCCTCAAAAGTGGAGTCGTGGGCAGCTCCAGGGGGAGAAAGAGGAGGCTTTCTATCCCTTTAAAGAGGGACAGTCTCAGAAACCCGCAGGGGCAGCTCTACCCTCTCCTACAGTGTGGCCATGAGTCAGAATCGATTCAGTGGCAGTGAGTTTTGGTTTTTGTGGTTTTCTTTTTAGAAATGTC